ATTTCATAATATTCCATCATAATTCTCTGTATCGTCAGGATGATGCTTTTCATAGGGTGACTCCACCACCACAGTTGGACAACAGCTCTCTCCACTCGAATTCTAGTCTGAATATAGATCAATTAAAAGCCAGAAATGAAGAAAGGCTGCAAAGATTAAATGCACTACATAAGGAGGCTATTCATATAGGTAAGATCTCTTTATTGAATGTTAGGACCAAAATTATTGAAGAATTGAACATCTTGTTAGATTTGGAAGAATTGATTGATACAGTATGTGCAAACTTTACCTAGAGCAACTTTTCCCAAATTTGGTGTCTTTCAGTTGTTTGCAGGTCATCTTGCAGGATTCTCAGAAATTATCACACTAGCTGTGGGTTCCTGGGAGATGACCTGCACATTGGGTACCTATAGTGTGGGAAAGACCAGCCAAGGGCAAAGTATTGCATATACGCTGCACACCCAACATATATGCTAATATGCTACCATGGCTAAGCTATCGTACAGAAGACGAGTGTTGCACTGCACTGCACTGTCATTACTCTTCCCTTCCACATTCAGATTTTTAACATAAGCAAGTACGTTAACATTTAAAATGGAGTGGTGGTGCTGGGAGTAATTGCTCTGGGTTTTCTTTGTAGCCTTGTAATTAAAAGAAGAAAAAACTAAAGCAGAAATAACAAGGAGTTAGCTGCAGATCAGCTTAGGCAACAAGTTAATTGTAGCCTTCTTTCACCTTGTTGGGTTCATTTGAATGTAGCCCTATAGTTATATCATAGTCAACTTCATCTTAATCCTTTGTTTCAGCATGCATCTAATTCATAATTAATTTATCATTGATTGCATTAAAAGTAGCCTTAACTACTTAAGGGTGTCAAACTGGTGGCCAGGGGCCAAATGTGTCACACGCAGGCCATGCCGACCACAGCTCTGTGAAGGCAAAAAACATCACGATACGTCACGTGACATCAATGTGATGTGGCAAGTTTGACACCTGTGACTTAACTCATTCTTTAAATTTCCTGACTGCTGTCCTTCAGTCAGAATGCAAATTGGCTTTTCTCAAATTTGTATGTCTTTATTTGAAAATTCATCCTGGATTTTTCTGTGCCAGGCTTACCATTCTTCCAAGATAATTTTGATCCCCCCCCCCCACGCTTCATACAGCCTACAAATGTGTTGAAATTTCCCTTCACCAGGAAACATTATATAGCAGGTACTATTACCATACAGAAACTAATGAGGTATTGAAAAAGATTTTCCTGCAAATATCATATATTCTTTCTTGATAGGTTAGCATATTCCATCACCAAAATCTGGACTGATTTTTGACATTTTCTTTGTAGAAAGGAAGTGATAGTCAGGGTGAGTAACTGACCAAATTTAGTTTCTTTTAGTTATCTTTTAGATAGACTCATAGATATTTGAAGATCCTTTTTGAATTCCAGTTTCTCAATGCAGCAAATGCCAAAATAGATTTTTTTTCATAGAGAAGCTGTTCTGGGTGCATAGAGAAGCGTTTCTTTGGTGAATGCTAACATGTGCTATTCAAATATTTGATTTTGCCACATCATTAAAAAAAACCCCAAAACCTCAGCTTCTGCACACCAAGAAAAGTACTCTTTCTTTGGAACCTCAGTGATATGTCTACATATTGCTCCTAGGTGATATTCTGTATAGTATGGAGTCCTTAAAACCTTCTAAGACTAAACCTGCTACAAAAAGAGCCCGAGTGGGTAGACCCCGTTGGTTTGATCCTGAATGCCAGCGGCTGACAAGGAAATTGAAGGTCGCCATGAGGCTCACCCATAGGAATCTTAAGACTCTTTTTTGGGCTGGACCTATTTTCAAATTTGACATATTTATTTATTGCTGAAGCTGCAATTTCAAGAAGAATCTTTTATTGTAGTCTTTTTGTATTATTAAGTTTGGGCTTGATTAAATTTAATTTATTCATCCCTTTTTATGAATTAGATATGTAACTGTAGACCCAAAAATACTCAAATGTGATACTTGTCTTTCATATACACAGACTGGTAATCAGAATTTCCACCTGCATTTTAAAAAGGACTGAATTTATCTGGAGAAGTATCTTACTGTTTGATGCATATGCAGATTTTTAATACAGTTTCTACTGCAATTAATTTTCTTTAAATTTTACACTTTAGTAATTTATTAGTTAGTAGTAATTTGCTTTAGACATACCTTTATATATAGATAAATCTATTTTTCCCTCCATGCATACAATATTTCCTGTACCCTTGGCTGCTGTACAATCCCTGAGCATCATAGAGCCTCCTGTATATTTAATTGTTGGCAAGGTATTTTTTTCTTCAAATGCTCCATCTCTTTTTCTCCAAAAGTCTATTATTTTGTTGTGGTCAAAAAGTTCAAACTTTATCTCAGTAATCCAAAGCACTATTCTCCAAAAGATTGGAGATTTGTAAGTGTTCTTTTGCATTCCTGAGATGTTGACTTTTATGATGAGGTTGAAGTGTGTTGTTTTGATAACTCCCATGTAAAATAATTGTTGTATAAACGATGTTCTTCTATCGACAGGGAATTCTATCATTAGAATCAATGTCAAATGTCAGTAGGTCATTTGTGGTGATATCTGGTTTCTGTTTTGTACATTTAATTAGTTTTCAGGCCTTTTTAGCAGATATTTTTTTCTTAGCAAGTAATTTAAACCTGAAGAGATATTGGTTATTTCAGCAAGTCAATCTGAAGCGATCTTCCAAATTGATCATGAAGTCCCTACATAAACGTTTGCATACAGGTATATGTAAGAAATATGGCGAAAAGGGGAATTGGATCCTCCAGTGCTGTTTTAAGGCATAGTATGCAATTGGTCTTGATCACCTTCATACTTACCTTAGAAATGCCATTTCCCATCCTTCTGTGTCAACATTATTTGACCAGTGACTCCAGAATAAGGAAATATTGAAAATCTGAAGTACCCCGATTGGGCAACAGTTGTGCTGACCTTGCTGCAATTTTATTCCACAGAAGTTCTCTGTAATACTGCAGAATGAATAATTTGGTCACTGAAATACATGGTAGGATACCAAGTATGACCTTATATATTAAAATTTATTTTTTTCCTCTCAAGTTGATGACATTTCATTGGGGAATGGTGATGACATCCTGAAGGAATTACTTCCTAGACATGGCAGAAGACCCAGTTCGATTGATTCTGTGGCAACTGAACCATGGCTTAGACCTGGGACATCAGAAACCCTTAAAAGACTCATGGCTGAGCAGTCAAGTCAAGCTAAACCAACTTCTGAGAAGAGCATAACATTCAATTGGCAGGGGCTGTCAACTGCCCATGGCTAAATAAACTTGTGTTAAAGCTGTTTGTGCCTTTCAAAGTTTCACTATTGCACTTTTATATTCATAGCTGATGTGAAAACAATGCCTACTTTGTACAATTATTGATTCATTACTTATGACATCTAAATTTGGAAATATATTACCACAGTAAATTTTCATGACAGCTTCAAAGTATAGCTAAATGTATAATTTAGCATACATTTAATGGTACTGAGGCAAAATTTATTTTTGGATTATTTTTCTCTGAAAAATTACCTCAGACTTCTGCAAGATTGAGAAATATGACCTGAATGTAATCAAATAAAATACTGTGGCTTATTGTTCTTAGACATACAGTAGATGTTTAGGGACTACCCAGGATTTAAATTAATTGCTGCTTTACTTCTAGCCCACAAATCTTATCCAATCATTTGTTTTAAAATGCTAAAGTGCTGTTTTATATGTGTATATGTGTGTTCAAATAATAGTGAATTCTATACATGTATTTATGTTCATGACTTAAGATGACAAAATAAATTATATTTTTATCAGGATTCTAATGAAGTATTTGTGAAAATGGATATTTTGTGAAATGAATAAATTGTCTTTTAATAATTAAAGCTCTGGAGTTTCCTTGATGATGCTTCTTTTTCATTGCAGTAGAAATGGCATGTTTCATTATGGAACTAATTTCTGACTGAACTGTGTTAAGTCTAGTACAAATACAAGTTCCTTTTTGTGTAACTGCAAGGTGTTTACTGTATGTTACACATACTATTTAATATTTAATAGTATGTGTAATAGATCATTAAAATGGACTCTTTTCCAAAAAGAATCAGTTTCCCAACTATAAAATCTGGACGGCTGGATGGGTAGAAAAAGATACCTTGAAGAATTTTCTGATCACCTAAATATAATTTTTTCCTTACCCTTCACCTGGTTGTAGTTCTCCTTTACTGAATATTTAATTGTAACAAAAAACAATTGCTTTTAGGTAACATACAGGCGAACAGAAAAGCTATAATAGCAAAATAAAGTAATTTGTAATGTCAGTCATTGGCAACGTCATTGGCTACTAACCCTTTCCATCCAAATAGGGATTATTGAGTTTTATATTTGGGACCCAAAAAGTACTTAATACTTCAGAGCTGAAGAAGCTTCTTGGATGAAAAGCAAAACGTCTTCAAAGAAAAACCAGAAAGTTGCCCTTTGAAAAAGCACTTTTGGTACTTCATTGTTAAGTTTAGCTCCATTTCTCAATTGCCTAGAGCAAAAGAAAGATATACTACACTGGTTTCCCCAAGGGAATAGTATTTTCTCAGAATAGGGTTACTCTTCTGCCTCATTTAAAATCCTTGATTTTTGCAGCTACTCTATAGCTATAAGGTAGTAAAGATCCAGCAGTCTTGTTCTCATCACAGGTTGGGAAGCTGTTGTTTGCCTTTTCTGCTCTGAATAACAAACAGATAAGCCACTTATTGTATGATGAAGCTACTAGCAGTAACCTGACAGTTACAGTATCAGCCCTTGTTTTTTGTCTAGCTATTGGAGAGACTTTTGCTTGGGGCCAGCCTTCAGTTCTGCATTCTGTACGTGAGACAGAATACTGTCCTATATCTTCATGTAGCTACAGCTTTTCCAAAATAGGAAGATTTGAACTGAAAAATAGAAGGAATGATACTTGAATTAAGTTAAATTCTTTAATCACTTGCAAACATGATGAAGGCAGTTTGCTTCAGCACTGTTAACCATCATTGTTAAACTTTTAAGTTTCTTGAAACATTAAAACAAGTAGTTTTACATTGCATTGGTTTTCATTGCACCGATGAAAGAATTCAAAAACTTTATTGACTTATAACCTGATTAGAATATGCCAGATGAGAACCAATATTGTACAGAAAGTTGTACAGAATTTACATAGAAAACTTTACAGAGCTGTACCATATACATTTTTCCATCTGAAAAATTTTTCTACATCCACTGTAAGACAGAATGCTTGACAATCTTTTCTTTAACCATCAGAGCACAATTCACAGTATGAATACATTTCCAATAAATTTAAAACCGTCCCTAAACCATGCCAAATTTGTTACTTGAATATATTTAACATTACATTCTGTACACAGAGTGAAATCTACATCAAACAACCCCCCCAAAAAAGGTGACATAAGATAAAACCTAGACTCATTTGCAGTGATTCAAGTTCCAGCCCAGAAAGATCGTTGCAATGGCTTATTATATTTAAAAGCCCTATCACAAGTATATTACAAACAGTTAAGCCAGTTGTGACTTTTTCAATCTCTGCCCTTCACTAAAGTTAGGACACAGACCAAATCAATCACAACATAAACTCAGACTAGTGCATTTGGTAAACAAATGTATGGGTTTCTATGAAATCATAAAAGAATGCAGGAAGAACTATATAGTGTTTGTAATTTATATTACAGACCTGCACTGTTTTTTCACTGAAGAATTATTACCTATATCTCAGCTTGAGTTTGCAGATTTTTTTTCAGAATAAGAATTCCATAAAGTTGCTAGATCTCTTCACTAGTGTTTTCCTGTGCTCTGAGTACAAACCATTCTTTCAAATACAATTCTCCTGAGTTGTACTCTATGGAAGTTCAAACTTTTAAAGTGTTAGTTTTTTGGGTACATATCTTTAAGTTCACAGCCATCATAAACATACATATGCCCACACATACACATATGTATGCATGTCTGAATAACAGGACATCACAGTCCAAGCTGACAATAAGACTGTTTAAAACTGGCTCGATGCTCAGCATAAGCCAGGAAAGGGAAAAAGAAAAATCTACTGGAGAATTAAAAGTTTTGCAAGCCTAAGTTACAGCTTTACTCTATACTGTGAACCCGTAGATGCACACACTGCCATACAGAGACCCTCATTATGAACATCCAGTGCAAGTTGATTTGGTTCTTAGTTTCCTTAGTTATACTTCTACTGTTTGGCTGTATCTTCCTCTTGATCAGCTGGCTGAGATATTTGGAAAACAACTCCAATTCGTAGAAAAAATCTTCTCAAAACAGCCCGGAGCTCAGGAATCAGATCAAATTGCATTATTTCACACAAAAGAGGATAGTAGAAAGATGCATGAGCTTTGAACTAAGGGAAAAAAGAATTCTATTAGACATTAAGTTTTTGAACAAGTAAATGCACTAATTTAAACATTACAATAAAAATTAGCAGATTCCCCATCCCATTTTCTAAAGAAACAAGTGTGCATGGTCTTATGGGCACAGAAGTACTGGCACCAAGAGAGGAAAAAAAGGCAAATGGCAACATGACATGAATGGATTGGAATGTTTGTATTCCTCAACAGTGGAAGGGAATCTATCCTAAAACTGGTTTATGACAATTATGATCTGTTGTTCATGAGGGGAAAAAAACTGGGCTCAATCCCTAAACACTGAAAAGTCTGACTTACCCGATCATCACTTATTTTCAGAACCTTTGTTAAGAATAAAAGTAACAGGCTAGTCCAAGCTTCCCGGTGACTCTCTGAGGTCAAAGTGAGGAAGTAGCTGAGACCTTCCTTGCAGACACTGCAAGCAATATGCCAACATAAAACCAAAGCTTAATTGTTTATTTTCGATACAGAACCTTTATCAGAAAAACTGTATATTCAGAAAGATAATTCAATAATCCCATCCTACACCAACACATCAGGGGATGTCAGTAAGACCAAGCATACTTAAAAGTTAGACAAAACACTTTAGCATATTGTAAAGCTGATTATTGAATGGATGGTCTCATCTCAAATAAAGATGCTTACAGCTGGCAGTCAATTTTTCAGATATTGGTAAGTAGTAAAAGGAGAAGGAAGGAGTGAGATCATATGTCTGTTTATTGAACCACTGAACAGCAATAATAGAAAATATTCCCAATAAGCAAAAAGTTAGATCTAGAGAAATGCTGATAGATGATGATTTGCTGGCTCTTTACTGTCTTCTCAAGAATCTTCTTTTGAAGAACTTTGCAAAATGGAATGATCTGTGTCATGAAGATAATTGCTGAAAATTAACCAATTCAGTATGTCTTTAAATTTTTAAATTCTACTATGCAGCCAGATAAAAGCTGTGAACAAGCCTTACTTTAGTAATCGTTGTTGCACTTCTTCCCAGGCATCTTTTCGACTTTCATCCATGTACATGCGGAAGAGTATACGTAACCCACAGGCAAGACTGCTAGTCTCCTGTTTTAAAAGATTGGGCTTTGATTTCCCTTTGAAACCTGCCAAAACAATATCTGTTGTTTATATTTTATTGACTATCTCAAAATCAGCACGAGTTAAAAAAAAGAAACAGACAAAAATGGCTATTGCATAGGTTATTCATAGCATCCAGATTCCCTAATCAAGATGCTTCTAAAATTCTACAAGAGTAGGAGTTGGATTTATATTAATATCATCTTTTTTAAAGCGAAATGTTATACTCCATATGGTGCAGCAGCTTTGCCCCATGCTGTTGTGCCAGGCCAGGGTGGTTGAGGCTTTCTGGGTCATGGTGGCTTTGCACCACACTGTAACTCAAGGGATTCTTACAGCCCCAGAGCTGCAGTGGACCAAGAAGCTCCTGAGCCACAGTATATTCTCTCTCATCTCTATCCATAAGCGCACCCTGTACTCTCCTTCTCTGGCCTCTGAGAACTCACTAAGTTCAGTTGAACAATGATGGTTAACTGCAGCATTCCCATCCCAACTCAGTGTAGCCAGTGTTAAGCCTACCACAGGGCCCCTTTATACCACCAGTGGCACCTCTGCACTCTTCATCTGGGACTCCCTCTGCTTCTCAGTTAGTGAATAGGACATCTTGAATTATGATAGCAACTGGGCCTGTAAGCATTGTTGTTGCTAAGTGATGCAGCCATGTGTTAAGCTACATCATTCAGCAGCAGAAATTCTTGTCTAATTGTAGTCATCAGCCAAGGACTACATTTTGGTATCCTCTCTCTTCATGGCATTTCTCTTAATGCCTGTAGTGTTCCTGTTCATCAATACATTTTGTAAATTAAAAAGAAAAACTATAATTCTGATAAAGCAAATCACTAGCATCCTACAAAACCTTTAGATATAAGAATATCTCTGGGCTACATATTACATAGAAGTATTGTTAACTATACAAAGTTGTAGCCTACTATCTTATTTGAACAAATCCCTGGCTGCCCAGGAAAAAAAAAAGACAAAAGTGAGGTGAGGGTAGCAGGAAGCATTTTGAGGTTTCACATGGATTAGAAGGAAACCCTGCCATTTGTTAAATAGAAGTTTTGTGATTTGTTATATAAATGGGTGCAACTATGTTGTGAATGAACAGACTCCTCCTACTCCATTGCTTGCATTTTGAGGCTATGGAATCTCAACATTCCATTTATGCACATGTGATCAAAAATACAAAAATAGTGACAAAGCACAACATTCAGTATTTATATATCATTTTTGTTGTTACAAATTATGATTACCCATCTGAAAATATTTAATTCTTTAAAGAATTATTGAATTATTGAATCATAGTCATTGAAGAAATGATGAGTGAATAACAAAGGCAAATCCAGAATTCATATTCCTCTAAAATTTCAGAATTAAAAAAAATGAGTTACAGATATTAAGACATGATTTAATGTTTCTGTGATCAGTACAATTTGAAGCTAAAAGCATTGTTACATTTTTCATCTATAATTTTACTATGCCACATTAAAATAACTTACAGGTAGACCTCTATTTAAACAATTTGTTTAGCTACTGTTCAAAGTTCTGATGGCAGTAAATGAGGAGGATTTACCATCAGTCTTCTGAATTCTGGCCATCGCAATGTCCCTGGAGACATGTGATCGACAGTTGTGTCCTCAGTGCCCAGTTTATAATTACAATGTTGCAGCAAGCTATAGCCACATAATTACAATTTCCATACTGACTTCCCACAAGCAAAGACAATGCCAACTAGAAGTCATTCCGGCCACTTTTCCTGCCACTTTTTCACTTTGTACCTTCTGCCTGCACCTGCCTGCAGCAACTCATGCAGCCAAACTTGAACTCTTATCTCTTCCCGTATAACAAATTGCATAGTTCTGGGGTAATAATGGCAATTGTGACTATGGGATTGCTGTTGTTAAGCAATGTGGTTAAGTTAGGTTGCACTTTACAACAACACTGCTTAGTGATGGAAAATCAAGTCCTATCATCGTAATCTGAGGAGTACCTGAACAGTATTTTTGCATAATGTTCATCATTTAAAGGCCTTACAATTGACAAGACTTACCTGCTTTCCAAAGTGCAGTTCTTTGCTCGTTATTTGAGTTGAAAGCTTTAGCAAATTTATGAGATTCTAATAAACAATCCAGCAGTTTGAAAAGCTGCTGTGATGTTAAAAAACAATACATTCCTTGATCTTGTGTGTCCACATGAACATTAAAGTCTACTGCATCCCTCTGGAAGGAAGGAAGGAAGGAAGGAAGGAAGGAAGGAAGGAAGGAAGGAAGGAAGGAAGGAAGGAAGGAAGGAAGGAA